TTTTATACATAGTTTTAACATTTAAGCTTTATTTTTCATGTTATAAAATAAATACATGCTCTTTTTTTTTTTTTTTTTTGTATCCTCACCCGAGGACATTTTTCCATTTTTTGTTCAGGTAGAGTGGGGGGGAGAGAGAGGAACAGAGAGAGAGAGAGAAACATCGATGTGAAAGGGACACATCAAGTGGCTGCCACCCGCACAACCGACCAGGGCCGGGGACAAACTGCAACCGAGGTACATGCGCTTAGCGGGAACCGAACCCGGGTCTCTCAGGACCACAGGCCGACGCTCTAACCGCTAAGCCAAACCGGCCAGGGCTAAATACATGCTCTTGTAAAAACAAAAAATTTGAGACACTATCAAGTGCAAATTCCTTGTATTCCAAACATTATCTATCCTCCCTCTCCACCCCTACCCTGCTCCAGATTACCCAGATAAAGAGATTAGTTACTGTATCAGTTTGAGCTACTTTGCTCAGATCATTTTTTCCTGCTAACATAGTAACATCTAGCTTTATTTTTAATAAAATTTTCAATTTTTTTTTTACAAAATTACTCTCAATATTGTTTTAAACTCGCCTTAAAATTTATTCAACAATTTTGTTCAACAAATTTTTATTGCAGACACTATATATCATGCATATATTAGATTGGGCCATATGAAATGGCTGAAATTTAAATAATTTAAAAACACTTTTTATTTTGAAATAATTTTAGATTCACACAGACTTGTAAAAATAGTACAGAGAAGTTTATAGATTTCTCTAGCTTCCCCTGATGATAACATCCTACATTACTTCAGTCCATTGTCAAAACCAAGAAATTGACATTGGTACAACACAACTAATATATATATTTAAAGTATTTATAAAGTCATTTTATATTCTAAGTATAGCTTTATACCCTTTAATAAAATTACTATGTAATGATAATCTTCTCAGATCAGTCAAATTCTCTGTAAAAATTAACCCAGAAATATAAAGGTTAGAAAGGACATAGGAGCCCTGACTATTGGGGCTCATTTGGTTGAGCATCATCCCATTCACTGAGACACTGCAGGTTCAGTTCTAGGTCAGGGCACATACCCAGGTTGTGGGTTTGACCCCCGGACTGGGTGTGTATGGGAGGCAACTGATCGATATTTCTCTCTCACCTCAATGTTTTTTTCTCCCTCTGTCTTCCTTCCTCTCTCTCTAAAAAAAAAAAAATCTATAAAATATATATATATTTTAAAAAGGTCATAGGATATCAGGTGGTGAAATATGAGCATTTTCAGATGAATAAACTCTGTGGCTCAGAGAAAGGAAGTATCTTGTCCAAGGTCACACAAGTCAGGAAACTTTAATAAAGATAAATACTTAGCCCTGGCGATTTCGCTCAGTGATTACAGCGCCAGCCCTCGGATCAAAGGATTGCAGGTTTGATTCCTGCTCAAGGGTACATACCTGCGTTGCAGGTTCGAGCCGCAGCCCCAGTTGGGATGTGTGCAGGAGGTAACCAATCAATGTGTCTCTTTTTCTCTCCCTCCTTCCCTTCTCCTCTATCTAAAAAAAAAAAAAAAAAAAAAAAATCAATGGAAAAATATCTTCGGGTGAGGGTTAACAACAACAAAAAAAGACAAATACTTAGTAATGGTAAAGTGTAGGAGAGGCTGAGTGGTAGCCTCATAGTGTTCCAAGGTTGGGGTCCAGTTTCCAGAAATTCCAGTTTGCCCGAGTAAGCATGTGTACTGGGAACCCTGCGGGGGATGAAAAGATACCTCAGAAGAGCGCCTGGTGGCTAACTGGACTGAAATAAAAAACTGAGCCTCGCAGCCATTTCTGCACAGGGGCCTTCATACAAACTGCCCTCCACTGAAACCGCCTGCCAGTACCATGTTTCTACCACCTAAGGCACCTTTATAAAGGAATTCCTGGAGTCCTATTCCAGCCAAGGGACTGAGACTTTCCCCATCAGTCAGAGCTATGCATCTCAGACCAATCAGAGCAGCTCTATTCTGACCAATCAGAATAGTGCCTTTGGACCCATCAAACTGTGAAGACTTGGAATCCTCATTTGCATGAGGATGGACCAATCAGGGACCAGGGGCAGGGCCTTCTGCTCATATAAGCCAGCTCCCCTATGGCCGGGAGAGTGCACTTTCCACTGAGGACTGTGCTTCCCCAGCTGGAACTGAAACACCAAAAATGTCTCATGGGGGACCAGTGAGGAGCAGAGCATCTCAGATTATCCCAGACCATCTCGGAGCAGAGCAGAGTTGCCTAGCCGAAGAGGGGTCTGGCCCCAGAGCCCCGGGGCCTGGGGCTGCCTCACAGCCTTGCTGTAGCACTATTGAGCTGTTTGCTCTGAAAGAAGTTTCTGTCTTCACCGCACCCTGAAGTGGGGATTCCTGTTGGCAATGACCAGTGGTTGACAATACCAAGAATCCAAGAGTCTGAAATTAAACCAGCAACCTAATTTTCTAATTTACAGTGAGAACCCCAGATGCCAAGGTATTTTGGTGTTTTTAAATGTACATGCATTCTCACTCTGTCAGAAAATCTAATATTAATCAGAAGTATTAGTGAGTACATGACCTAGGAAAGTGATTAATTTTTTATTAAATATGTTTTTATTGATTTTTAGAGAGAGAGGAAGGGGGAGAGAGATAGAAACATCAATGAGAGAGACACATCGATTGGCTGCCTCCGGCACATCCCCACTGGGGATTGAGCCCAAAACCCGGTCATGTGTCCTGACTGGGAATCGAACCGGTGACCTCTTGGTGCATGGGTCGACACTCAACCACGGAGCCACACCGGCCGGGCCTCTCCTCCTCTTATAAGGACACCAGCCTTTGCATTGAGGGCCTGTCCTGAATCTAGGATGACTTCACTTCGAGGTCCTTAACTAATTGTATCTGCAACGACCCTATTTCTAAATAAGGTCCCAATCTAAAGTCCTAGGTGGATGTGATTTGTGGGGCGGGGGACAATACTCAAACCACTACAGTTCTCCTCTCAGGGAATTGTTCTTCTTCTAAGTTGTGGGAGGCACCTGCCTCTGCCCGAAGATATCTGTGTCTGAGATCAGGGCCTTGGGACAGTGGGGGCCAGGAGGGCACAGACCCAGACATGAAAACCAACAGTCTCGACGGGTCTGCCCACACCGCCGGCCCTGGGCGTCGCCTCTTCCCCGGGAAGGAGAACCACCGGCCCCGTCTCTCCTTGCTCTTCAGCACCGTGGCCCTCACAGTGCTTCCCACTGAGGCTTTTGGCTTTTTTTTTGAAGAAAATAAAAAAGTAGAAGAAGAAGAAGTGCTGTTTGGTAGACGATTCCGCAGTGTTTGTGTTTGTAAGCTGTCTCCCCGACAGAGGACTCCAATTTAAAATACAGATGAGCTCTGACGAAACTGACCCAGGCTGGCTTTTCCCTTCGACGGCTTCCTTTCAGGCCCATCCGTCACCGTGATTGTAGCAGGACAGGATTGGCACAGAGAGGGGTAGGAGTCCTGAATTCTCAATATCCAGCTGCGGGAGGTCACAGCAGGGAGCAGACATCAGTACAGAGGTGTGGGAGGTAAAAACAGGCTGGCCTTTCCCTGGAGTCTCGTGCTCCCAGGCGCTCAGTGAGCTGCTTCCCTGTCCACAAGCGCTCTCGTAGCCAGCTCTCAGCCTATGGCCCCGATCCTGTTTCTCCTCGTGCCGTGCATGCGAGGAAACCATGCCTCGCTTGGGGAAATGACACTCGGTTGCAGTAATTATTCGCCTAGGTCTGTGCTCCGTCCAGGCCTTGTCTGTGAGTGGCACTGCGTCTGTCTCTCCCGCAGATCGTATCGCGCTCTGATTCTGCGTCTTTCCCCGACGTGTTCTCCTGCCCCGGCTTCTGGGCGCTGCTGTTTTCTGCCGGTTTCTGCTGCTCCCCCTTCAGTCTCTCTGCTGGCCTTTGAAGCTCTGGATGCCGGCTCTTCTCTGTCCGGACACGCAGCCCTTGGATTTCCTATACTCTGAGGATTTTAACGGCTCCCCGGGCACTGCTGCCTCTAGAATCAGCCTAAGCTCAACCTTGATTCAGATTCAAATCTATTTATCGAGCTCCGAGGATGTGACTGGCGGTGCCGGGGTTCCCTTGTGGAGCAGGCAGAGGGACCCTGCCCTCGGGGAGCTGACCTCTAGTAGCTCTCACTGAGCTGCGGCTTGGCCCACCTGCCCCTCCCTCTGCCCACCCGCTCCAGCCACCCGCCCGCACTCCATCATCCTTACCCTTGGACTCTTGGGGTCCTGCTGGTCTCCCTTCTCTAAGGTACTGTAAGTTCTGTGAGGGCGGGGCCGTGCCATAACCATCTCGTGGTAGGCCTGGAACGGTGCTTGGTAGACTCTCAGTATGTTTTCCTTGTTGAACTCAACAGTCAGTTGTATATACGTGACTCCCTGTCCCAGGTAAAACTTCACATTCTCAGGGACACGTTCCTCGACCTTCCAAACAGGTCAGCCGTCCTCTGGTATGGTCCTATGACATATTATTTCTTCCCAGAATTTGGCATAATTATAACTCTTTTTCAACTAGGCACATAGTTTGTTTCAAGGTGGTCTTCTTTTACTTAGTTGCAAATGCCATTGACCGGGTCGATGATATAGCTACCATAAGTGCTTGGCCTGACATAAATAGTAAACATTTGTTAACTGATAGAGTGACAAATGTTCTTGGCCGGTTAACGATCCTGAATGCATTGCTGGGGCCTCCAGAAAACGTAGACCTGATTGCCTACTGGCCTACTGCCTCACTCTGCCTATCTCTAAAATGGGGATGTTTCTGTGGGGTAAGGTTGGATAGCAGATGAGCTTTAGATGAAACAGTTTCAAAACAAATGTTCATAAATAAATTGTACTGAAAAGATGATAGCAAAAGAGTAAACACGTCAACTGAAATTCCAGCTAAGCTTTGAAATGCCCATTTCAAAAATGTGATACTTCATTCTGACAGGAAATATAAGCACCTCCTCTTCTTTTCCCTTCCCAGCCTCTAAGACAGCAGTTCTTGGGCAACATGAAGTTGAACCAGAACAGGTAAACATTTTTGTAAAGTATTTGAAAGGTGTGACTTCGATCTTTAAAATCTACACGAGAGGTTTGTAGAAATGGACCAGGGAGAGCAGATACATCCAAGGTGCAGACTGTATCGCATCTCTTCTGAAATGACTGAGGAATCTATAGACTTGTACTCTTGGCAGAAATAGCATTATTATTTCTCCAGGTGCAGGTGCTTTGGAAAGCAAAAAGCAAAAAATAAATAAAAAGGCGTGGAAAATCATTATGTGTTCCTTGTGCGTGGCCCAGGTTGAGTGACATCCTGCGGAATCATCACTAGCCACCGTGTTCCTCTTAGTTTCCGAGAGGAACCTCATTCTTGTTTATTATTACAAGAAAGATTCCAGCCACATAAGTAAAAACTTCAGGCAGGACAGACATCTGAAAAGAAGAGCGAAGGTCCCCCATCCCTCTTTTCTTTCTCCTCTTCTCTGTCCTGAGAGAGAGAGAGAGAGAGAGTGCTGTTGGCCTCGCTGCTGTGTTGGAGAGTGGGTCAAGAGGCGAGTGTGCCCAGATGTGGGCGGTGGTGACTCCCCGCGAGGGCTAGACGCTGCCCGCCGGCCCAGCCGCGCTTCCCCGTGGTGCCAGGACTCTTCCACACTCCTAAAAGTGAACACTGACAAATTCAAAGTAACATCTTGTCATTAAAAATAACAATAACAAAACACAAATCAGAAAGAATATATGCACCCCTATGTTTATAGCAGCCCTATTTACAATAGCTAAGATCTGGAAACAGCCCAAGTGTCCATCAGTAGATGAGTGGATTAAAAAGCTGTGAAACATGTACACAATGGAATACTATGCAGCTGTAAGAAAGAAGGATCTCTTATCCTTTGAGACCACATGGAGGGACCTGGAGAGTATTATGCTAAGCGAAATAAGCCAAGCAGAGAAAGACAAATATCACATAATCTCACTTATTTATGGAATATAAATGAACTAAACAAACTGCTGAACAAAATTAACCCAGAGACATGGAGGTGGGGTACAGACTGACAAGCCTCAGAGGAGGGGGGGATTTATGGGGGAAGAGATAAACCACAGAACTTACATGCATGTATGCATGACCAATGAACATAGAAAACAAAGCTGGGGATGGGGGGGAGGGGAGGAGGGTGTCAATGAGGGAAAAATGAGAAACATCTGTAACAAAAACAAATTAATAAATAAAAAGTTGAAAAAATAAAATAAAAATAACAATAACAAACCCACTTGATGTTAGCAGAACATACATTTTATGAAAAATAACTGTAGTTTGCCAAATGAAAAAAATATAAGGGAGGAAAATGGCAGTGTTTTACATTCAGAAATCTCAATGGCTGGCTTACCAGGAGACGGAGACGCTCACATTGGCTCACATATTCCGTCATCCGAGAGACAAGGTCATCACATCACATCCCACTGTGCGTCCCAGGCGACAGTGACTGGCAAATAATGTCTCATGAAAACCATGTTCATCTCAGGGGTCCCCTGGCTACTCTTTGAGAACCGCCGCTGTAGGAAATGCAACATGGAGTTTCATCTGCTCTTCACTCTTGTTGTGTCTAGGAGTCTGAGTCAGCCATGAGGACCTCCCAGGGCTGGGGAGACGTCCCAGGACTCCAGTGCTGGGAGCCCAGTGATTTGATGGTGAACATGGCTCACAGCACCATTAGCCCCATAGCCCATATGCCTGATGTCTAACTTAGGAAATGTTGGGGGTCTGAGTCAATGTTTTAGGCTTTCAGAAATTAAAAAAAAGTTTTTTTTATGCGTAAGGTTGGCTTTGTCTTGACCTTGAGACACAGTGGGCCCAAGGTGGTAGGACGCCGAGACGTGCTGGCCGTTGGAGGGTGTGGCTGGGACGGGAACTCCTGTGAGGGTGATGTGCAGGAGCAGGTGGCCCAGGCGTCTTCCTATGTCTCACCAGGTGAGCCAGGTGGACAGCTCCTTCCTGGCGAAGGTCATCGCGTCCTCCCTGGGACTGGTGCTGTGTGCGTCGATTGCAGCGTTTCTCCTCCGAGGTAAGGAAGACGACGCCCGTGAGAGCGATGGAGGCTTTGGGAGGACCTGCCAGTAGATCGATGTGGCTTCCCGCCCCCCCTCCCCCTCCATCCCCCAGAGTCCTGTTTCTCTCACTGTCTCCACTCTGGTCAGGGAGGGGACAGGTAAACCCATTCTCCCTAGGATGCTAAAGGCTTCATGTATGATCCTCCTGAGAGAGTTCTATTTTGGAAAATAAAATGAAAATAAGAGCACCTTCATTTATTGGACACTTATTCTTTGTCAGTCCTGATGCTAGACGCTCGAGTGCCTGACCCATTCCATCGTATTTAAGGCCGTAGATGCGACGTGCTGTTATTACCAGCGTCTTGGGTGGAGGAAACCCTGGCCCCACCTCCTCCTCTGGCTAGGATTGCCCCCGGAAGAAAGCCATGAATGATCCCTGGTCTTCTTATTTGTTCCCTTAAAGCAAGTTTTCTTAACCTGGGGTCCACAGATAGAACTTAGGGGAGCAGTGAATCCCTTGAAATCATGTACAGAAGTGCTTGTTGGTTCTTATCTGCATTTTTCAAGGGGCAGGGTCCATAGCTGTCAAAAATTTCCCTGGCTGGTCCGTGGCCTTGCACCCCACCCCCACTTCAAACAGAAGTTTTAAAACACTACAAAAAGGAGTCATGAAACAGGGTTGATAGTGTTCAAGCAAAGTATAGGCATGTGGCCCCTCGTCCTGGTGTAAAATGGGGGGGGGGGGATTGCTCTGCGGTCATTTATAGCAACTGTTTCAAGGTAGCAAATGAGGAGATCAGACTAGTAATCATCTCAGCCTGTTTGAGCGACAGTAGGGAACCTTGCATATTCTGAAATCTGTCCCCAGTGAAAGCTGCAAAAGGGAATTTACAAAGGCATGTTACACTTGTAGATATTCTGGGTAAGTCTCATAAGGAAGTGTTTTAAAACCCAAATGAGTACTGGAATTGTGGGTGGGCAAATGAGTCAGGTACGAAGCAGCTGAACGCCACTGCCCACAATGTTGGCACAACTCTGTAGTTGACGGGCACTGCCTGGGGGCTTGAAGAAGCTGTCCTTTGATCCAGGAAAAGGAATGGCTTTCCCTGCCAAAGCCAGTCCCTAAATGCTCACCTTTAGACTAGTCTGCTTTTCCTAAGGTAGTAGTGGGCTTCCCCCAGCATTTCAAATGTCCTAGCACTGAACTCTGCTTATACTGTGGCCTTGTCTTTCCAGGGAAAGTCATGAAAACCAATTGCTTCCAGAAACACACAAGGTAATTCATCTTGCATGACTGATCGTTGTAATGATAGTACAAGGTGTTACAAATGATTAGATACTACTCAGTGGTTTAATGACTTGTGCTTATGTTCTGATTAAATACAGAGTCGGAGAGATGTGACATTAGAGGTGAAAAAGAGGTGGGGGCTTAGTTCACATTAACTTCTGTCTTGGTTAACACTGTCGTGTTTGTCCAAAATGCCAATGCAAAGGCAGGTTGCATTAATAGAAGTATGACATGTAAAAGAAAGAAGGTGATATGTCACTCTATACTAGAAGTTCTTTGTTCAACTCTGAGCAACTGACTTTAAAAGGACATTGTTAAATTGGAGTTCATGGAGAGGAGAGTTGGCAGGATGGAAAATGAAGAAACATAGAATATCATTCTTGGGAAATGGCTTCCTCTGCCCAATTAGGCCAGGGGACCCATGGTAGCAGTTTTTGTTTGTTGTTGTTTTAATATTTTGAAGAGTCTCTGGAAAGGAATTTTGGTTATCTCTCCAAATCTGTAACTTTTTGGGTATAATAAAAAATATATACATTTGGCGTGAACGGTGATGAAGAATTTGCCTTCGCTTAATAATCGCATCAATACCACAATATCTGTTAACAAGTAAATACTCATAAGTAGAGAAACGAAGGCTCAGTGAGGTGACTTCCCAAGGTCATAGTTGGAGATTTTGTGTGTGTGTGTGAATAAACACCTTTAGGTTGTGGTTTTATATTTTCTAATGTAGAAACGTCTAAATCCCCTATTAGAACAGATTGACAAATGCCCTTGATCCCCTGCAGCCTCAGTTTTCCCATCTGTGAAATGAAAGCGTTGGACTGGATGGACTCTGATCCCTTTTAACGTTACAGCCTTGGCTGTTGTGTGTCACTGAGCAGCGTCCATTTACTCCTGGTCTTGGTGGTTCCCATTACCGTCTCTCTTCTCTCTGTAGACTGGACAACGCTGGAGACAGAAAAGGGGTCCTTGACGACATTCAGCATGGAAGAGAAGACGAAGACGGTCTCTTCACACTATAATGTGCCCTTTCTCCTAGAATGGGGGACGGGGCAGGGTGTACGGTTTGTCGAAATAAGTCTTAGAACGTTTGTTTGTGTGTTTGAAGTCCTATCTGTTCCTTTGGTGTCACTGAGCCAGCTTGCTTTTGTTTCACAAGAGAGAGGTACTTCAGAGACGACACTTTGTCTGCCCCGTGCTTGAATCTCCTTCACAGCCTCGCAGCTAAGTGATCTTGCACGCTGTGCTTGAACACTTTCAGTGATGACGAGCTCACTACCACACCCAGGGGAGTCCATTCAATCTCAGGGCAGTTCTGAGGCTCAGAAACACGTAAACAAAGTCTGTCTCCAGATCGCGTCTGCCTATTGGTCCTAGACGAACGCATGGTGCTCACACAGAACATGTCTCATCTCTTCTACCTGGGAGTGCTCCAGGTCCTGGAAGGAGAACCCCATTGTCTCTGCAGATTACCTTGTCGCTGGGACATGACTTCTGGTCCCTCACCTTCCCTAGTTGCCTTATCTTGTAGGCATTTGTGCCTCTCCTCTGATGCCCACCTGTCAGAGTTGAGTGCCCCGTGCCAGGTGTGGTGTGAGCAGCCCTGGGTCTATGCCTCATCAGCAACGCAGGAGATAACGTGGAATCGCACCGTAATTTTGATTCACCTCTACAACTCCTTGGTTTCCTATTATTTTCTGTTCACATCTGAGTGTCTTTAGAGGTGACCCTGGTGTCACAGCTTAATTCTTGCTTGGGGAATTTAATTTTGGAAGCAACCGAGAGTCCATCAGAGCAACATGTGGTGAGTGGCATGGGCGTTCAACCAGAGCCAGTGCGTGGGGATGACTAACGCAGCCGGAGTCAGTTTCTCTAAACGTAATTCATGGAAGTTGCTCCTCAGTAGGAACAGATTTATTTTAAAACTTTCCTAGTGGCATGAAGGACCCAGGGAGACAGATGCAAGCAAATGGTTGTTGGATGAAGAACGAATGGATGGATGGATGGATGGATGGATGGATGGATGGATGGCTGAGTGAGAAGAATGTGTATCTGAGTGAGAGGCACGAGACCTGGAGGGTATTTCCCCGACACTGATCCCGGTGTGCTTAGGACAATCGCCGCAGTAATGCAATGAGCACCGTCTTTCAAGGAAGCCACCTTTCCCGTGTCTGCTCTCTTGACATTACTTTTAAGAGAGGGAAAAAATCAGCCTTATCACTTCCCTGGTGCAGCCCGTGGATTCCTCGAATGGATCCAGCAGTTAAAAAACAAAAACAAAAACCAAAAAAAAAACAAAAGCAAAACCCTCTTGCTCTGGAAGGTTTGGCTCAGCGGTTTGAGTGTCAGCCCACGGACCAAAGGGCCGAGGGTTCAATTCCAGTCAAGGGCACGTACCTGGGCTGCAGGTGTGATCCCCGGCCCTGGCCGGGGTCGTGCAGGAGGCAGCCAATCGATGTGTCTCTCTCCCATCTCTGTCTCTTCTCCCTCCCTTTACTGAACGTTGCAGTTCACTGGAGATTTTCAAAAACTACCGGTTCCAGAGTCCCATTCTCCAGGAGATTCTTCTGCATCTGAATTAAAAAATAAAACTCTCCCAAATGGTTTCTAAGTCCAGGCAGGGCTAGGAGCCAGGGCGCTGCTCAGCGGCTGTCAAACTGCACAGCAGCCCAGCAGCACCTGGCAGCTGCTAGACGTACACATTCTTATCCAAACCCCAGACCTACTGAATCCGAATCTCGTGGACGTGGAGGGAGCACAGTGATCTGAGTCGTAACAAGCCCTCCCGGTGATCCGGATGCACGTTAAACTATTGCAGTATAATAATCCTAACGGGGGGTTGAGAGTTCAAGGGGAGTCTCCCTCCCCAGGGGCTCTGCTGCTGGGTGTGGCCGCAGGCGAAGGCCCAAGCGGGGCTGACGCAGAGACCTCACTGAGGCAGGCGTTTCTGTCCACATGGGCTCCTGCAGCCCCCTGACCATGCGGCCGACCTCACTCTCCTCCCTCCCGATCCGTTCTCCATGCTGTGGCACAGGTGTCTTTCCTAAACGCAGATCTGAGGTTCCTGTCTCCTGCCTGCCACCCATGGCGGGTCAGAAGCGAAGCCCCTCCTCCCGCCCAGAAGGCTAGGGTGGCAAATGCCCGTGACTTCAGAGGCTAGGCAGCGATGATACAGAGGAATGAGGTGACGGGAAGCCATGTGGCCCGTGGAACATGTGTGTCCACTTGAAAGGCATTAACATTCGAAGTTAGTTCAAATCATGTCCTGGGCGAGCAACACATGGCCGTGGTCTAGAGGAAGGTGGCCAGTTTGAGTCTCAAGATCCAGCAGGTGGATTTTACCAAGTGATGAATTAGTATCAATTTCTTATGTGAGTCTCCGTGGTCAGAAGAGGGTATAGATGCACCCTCTGTGCTATCAGGATGAATTGATTGGTAGCCACGTACAAACAGCTTCCTGTATCTAGTGTGTATTGGGGGGCGGTGGGGTGGGGGGCAGGAGAGAGGCTCGCTTCCCTTAAGGAGCTTGAAAATCTAAATGAGACAAAACACACATGAGCAATGCAACCGAATGGAGACGTGGCTTGAGCGGCTGATACCTAGCTGGTGGGCCCTCGAACCTTGAGATTTACAGCAACCTGAGTCTACAGCCTGGACCTCGACCTTTCTAGGCTTCACCTTGACCTTCACCTGTCAGACCTGAACTTTCGAGTTAACATCCACTGTCTCAGGAGCCTTCCATATGTTCTGGAACGCGACGTGTTTCAAGGCAATTTCTCATGGAATCCTCACAGCAGCCCACGGACCAGGCACATTTTTCTTGCTTTTGGAGGATCGACCTGCGTGGTCCCAAGTGGCTTTTAGTTCACTCAGATCCGCTGCAGCCAGAGTGTGCTGAGGGTTCTCGAACCCCCACCCCTTTATAGTTCAATCTTCCCTGGTCCCCCACTTATTTACTCGGAATCTTATTTGCATGTGCAGAGGAAGCAGCAAGTGGAGAACCTGGCAGGAACCACGTGAAGCCAGGTGGGACACATTCACAGGGAGTGAGTTGCGCTAACTCACGGGGAGCCGAAGCCAGCTGTCAGCAGGCCTAATGGAAGGTTCACAGGAACGCGGGAATGGGCGGCTGGGGAGGCTCTTTGTCTCTCTAAAGAAAACAAAAGGTTGAGAAGTGGGCTCCCCAGCTGGAGGCAAGAGCAGAAGGAGGAAGCCACTGAGTCTGAAAGAGAGTTTCATTTAGATTTGTAAACAAGTTACAGTCTTAAAAAAAAAAAGTGCTGTGAGTTTTCAGCTCTCTGAGCTTCAGAGGACCAGGAGGGGTCTGTCCCGGATCCGATGGATGCCCGTGCTGTTAGGAAGGAGCCCGGAAGCCGGCACGGCTGCTCACAAACAAGGTGGGCTCCCTTTCTGAGCTGAAAAGGTGGGGTTCTGAGGTTGTGAGCCTCATCCCTGTTGCATATGGAGTAGGGGGCTGGGGGAGCAGGAAAGACCCTTACACATCCTTCAGCTTTCCTTTTGTTTAGCTGGTGAAACTGAGGCCCAGATGGGGGAATGAGTTGGCCCAGGCAACACAGGAAACAGAGCCAGAGCACAGACCTTGTCCAGGTACCCTAGACTTCACTCTGCCGCCAGGCGGGACGCTTGTTCTTGGATTTTTCTAAGGCCACCTGGCTATGCCTGATCTTTTACCCTTCTGAAGTCCCATCCAGAAGGTTCTTGTTGGTACATGCAATGCAGCATTTATTTTCCTTGGACTATCTTTCCAGTGTGTCCTTGACCCCAGGGTGGACTGTCACCCCAGAAAGAGGAATTGGAATGAGGAAGTGCAAAGCTGAGCTGTTCTGTTGTTTGTTTTAAAAAACACCACCATCGTTAGGGTGACCACTTGCCCCAGTTTTAAAACTCAAAGTCTCTCCAGCGTGCTGGGATCTCCCTCAGTCCTGGGCCAACTGGGATGGTTGGTCAACGTAAGTCCACAACTAAACCAGATCCAAAGCAGCAACCCTCTGGGTTCTTTTATTCAAAACCTCCGCTCTGGACTTCACTGCAGTGATCTCGTGTGTGTGTGTGTGTGTGTGTGTGTGTTTACAATTGGACCCCAGTGGAATTTAATGTGTTTGGATCCAGAGGTTGAATAGAACACTACATGTGGATTCTAGACCCTGGCTATTCAAAATGTGGGGCTCAGACCAGGAGTACTGTCATCAAGGGGAGCTTGTTAGAACGGCAGAAGGTCAGCCCCACCCTAAGCCCTCGGAATCTCTATTTCAACAAGGTCTCTCTGATTCACCTGCACTTTTCGGCCTGAGAAGTACTGGTCGAAAGCACTGATTTTCAAACTCGGCTGCACATTGTTGTCATGTGGGCAACTTAAAAAATACTCATACTCGACTCCCCTCTGAGGTCCTGATTTAACTGGTGTGGGGGAGACCTGGGCATCAGGCATTTGCAAAGCACCTCAGGTGATTCTAATACGCTGCAGTTTGTAAACCACCACCTCCGGGAGGGGAGATGTGCACCAGACAGTAATGTTGCTATTAATCAGGATAACTCTTGGCCTAACTTACAAGTTTATGTGGGTCTAGTACCCCCACATGATTTTGCTCAGAGAAATGATCAATAAAATTGCTCAAGAAGATCTGAGGACACTAGATAATGACCTAAATGTCCCCATTACTATGGATGAGGCCCATTAAAGTAATTAAAACCAAGATATATAATGTAGGCATACCTTGTTTTATCGCCTTTCACAGATGTGTTTTTTACAAGTTGAAGGCAAGACCTTCCGCCCGCAAAAGGGTTACAACTCGGGTTATTGTGACACTCACTTTATTGTGGTGGTCTGGTACCGAACCCACAATATCTCCAAGGTATAAAACAGAAAAGACAAGCAGAGAAGGAATGTCTAGGGTCAAGGGTGCTATTAGTCTGTTCAGAGACATCAGAAGGATAATGAGTTGACACCAAGATTTTAAGAGAAACATGGAGGATTCCCATGTTCACGTAGAAATAGGATGGG